TTAATCTGCTCATTCTGCTTTTAAAAGAAAAAAAATACAACAAAGAAGTGACTCTGCAAGTCTCCCTGTATCTGTTTCTTTGTCGGTCTCTGTGCTGCATCTCTGAGCTCTCCCAGCATGCTTTTCTCACGCTGTAATGTCACACCTGTGTATAAGGTGACTCCCTGGAGTCTGAAACTTTGAGGTCAATGTTGCACCACAGTGGTGGCAGTTAAGATGCATGCACGTTTGAAACATGCAACTCTGCATAAAAGTAACAAGTAATGTTAACTGCAATTGAGTAAATGAAATGATGTGACAATGCATTACTGCGATGCTGCAGCAGTTTTATATCTGTTGTTCTTTGTTATGTCCACAAGGCTTGTTTAGTGGGGGTAACATTAAAGGAGACCACACAAGGAATTTCTTTAAAGTGAAAATTGAATTTATTAAATTATACTAAAGAAACAATACCTGAATAATGGATAAATAAAATGGGGAATAGGAAATGGCTTAATGCAAAACCAATAACTAAACAGAAATAAGCAAATGCAAAGAAACCTAACAAAACGATAGGATAGGATACAAACCAAACCAAACCAGACCAGACCAGATGGGGTTCTGAGGAGGTAAGAGGGAGAAGGCTCCTGTCTGCTGCTTGCATGACAGCTTTTAAAGCAGATGAGCACCAATTAGAGCAAAACAGAACACCTGCAGAAGGCCTGCATCGAGAACCCTGCAAGGAAAAGTGCAGAAACCCACTGCAGCCGTAACACTTCCTAGAAGAAAAATGTTTGACCAAATTAATACAGATAATTCAAATTATATTTTTTCTTATTTAATAATCATTAATAACATACATAAATACTTATAAACGAGCTGCAGATAAAGTACATAATACCAGAAATAATCCTTCTCAAGTACCTGTAAATGAGTTTTGTGTCCCTGTCCTGAAAAACCTGCATGTGTGCCCCATTATCACATGGATGTGTCTGTTGTTGCTATAATCATAGCTTCAGGCCTGCTCAGGCCATTCCAGCAGTCATTGGAGTTTTCAGCTCTGGGCAGAGTGCTATTGTGAAAAAAGGAAGCAGTTTGGTTATGAGAAAAGTCCCCACAATGTGCAGAGATTTAATTGTCTCTCATAAATATTTGTACATTGTGTGTTGGGTGAATCAGACAGGAGGAGAAAAAAAAATGCCATCACTGCATGCCAAGAAACAGGTGCTGTCACTCTGGTGCTATAATTACCATTGCAGATGGAGTGATAGATATTATTACCGAGAAACTATAACTTTTATAATCAGAGCTTGCTGTAATAACTGAAGCTTCAGAGTTAAACAGTAAATAAAAAATAGAATTCAAAACATCAAATGACTTTTCATGTAAGCTCTTATTTTTTTAGGTCAGCTAATATGTAATCTGGGTTACAGTAAAGGCTTGGTCGTTACCTTTGGACTTTAGCGTTGTTCTAAGCTTATTTAGTAGGAACTTTGCTCTCAATGTGGTTGAGGCTAAAATGCTTTCCAAACAAACAGATTAAGTCATTGAACAGGTTGTTACTTCAAAAGCACCCCAGATCTACAAAAACAAGACAAGTGTTTACACCAGAAACTCTTTTTCTTTATAAGGGGTTAAATATGGGCTGTCAAAGGAAACTGCTGGTGAATGCTGATAGGGGTCTAAACATGCAGCCAGTGATCTTATCGGCCTCCTGGAAAAGAACCAGCTGATGAAGAAGCAGAAAGTCAGTCCTCCAATGGAACTCCTTGACTTGAACCCAAAGATCATTCATAATGTCTAAAGAACAGACAGTTCATTCTTTTCAGAAAGACTTTCTTGATTATTTTTATTTCCTGAAATCAGATCTGTAGGAACAGATTGAAACTCATTTCTCGAGATTACACTTTTCTTTGTATTGTGGATCTCTATCGTGGAAATAACAATGTGCACAACACAAATGACTTGCTTGTTTTATTTCTTTTGTAGAAGGTAGATCATAAGAGTTAATTTATGTATATCTCAGTTTAATCTATGGTTCCTAAAGCTCAGTGTTATATGTATATGAAAAATACATTTTCTGTAAATAGGCTGATCTTGCTCATAAGAAGTCATAATTCTGAATGTTGTTTAAAATGCATAATTCAACAGAGGCCTCTCTCCTATAGCACCCTCTACTGACATGAGCTGGAAAGTATAAAACTAATGCAAAATTTTGAAAAAATGCCTACAATTAAATTATTTGTGTGTGTGTGGTGGTGTTTGACTGTTTACTTTGTAACCACCTTTCCCAGTGACCTAATTATCAAAACAAAATGTTATAAGAAAGCTTGTAATCATAGACAGTACAATTGAAAACTTTACCAAGGTTTATCCTTGATCCCACTTCACCCTGAAATTTTCATTCTAAAGTTACAGACATTCTTGACTCCACTTGATCCAGTTAAAATAAAAAGCTGTCTCTAGGAAGAAGAAATCTCCATGGAGAAATACTCCAACAGTAAGAAAAGAAAAGAGGAAGTGCTGCAAAGGCTCCAAAATAATGGACTATAGGTTCACTTTCACATCTATAGACTTCACAGATATAATTTACAATTAAAAGGTACAAGATAATCTTTCTTCCCTGAGATTGTAAACAAAAAATATTAACAAAGAAATCATCAAGCCATTGTTGAAAAAGAAATCTCAAACCTCTCCACCAATAAAATTATTGAAAATGTTGTATTTCAACAGTTATATGCTTTCTTGAAAATCACCATCTGCTTTGATGTCTTCCAGCCAGGTCTCCATGCCAACCGCACAACTGAGACTCCCCTGATTAATGACATTTTCAATCAAACAACATTAAAGAAGTTTAAAAAAACAACACACCACTGGACTTTGTTTTCCAAGTTTGAAGACGTTTTGCTTCCTATCCAGGAATCGTTCTCAGTTCAAAACATCTGGAGTAGCTTTTGAGTTCCAAGCTTATAGAGTGGCATAAACATAAACTTGCGTTGTGGGGATATTCTTCTTATTATTTTTTTTTATTGTATGCTTATTCATTTGTGAAATTTCCACAAAAACATTTCTATAGTATTAATAGTAGAAGAAATAATAATTATAATAATAGAAGAATAAAAAAATGAATTATTATGTAATGATAATATATTGTTACCTTATTGATTGTTATGAAATAACAGCCCTCCTCCTCCTTTCATTAATCTGTTTGGTCAGTTATCCATCCACTATATGGCACCAGTTTGCCAGCAGCTTTGGTGAGCTTCCCAGGTGTTCCTCAACAGCCCTCATCAACTGGAGGTATAAAAAGAGACCACTGCCAGCACTCCAGCGCTTGAGTGTTATTAACCAGTGGAAATCTTAAACCTCTGTAAACTGCCGTCTGTTTTCTTTTTAATCCTGCTTACCTGTTCCTCTGCTCCTTTTTCAGGAGATCTGCTCCCTGGATCCTCCAAGTTGGAGGGTCTAACTCTGCATCTGAAACTTCAAGTGATTCACTTGGTTCTATGCTCTGGCTAGCAGTGGTGCCTTCCTTTTCTCTAGTGCATTTAAACCAGTCAAACCTGGCTCCCCCTCCAATGCTCTCTGAATATCTGCATACTAACAGTTCTTGAGTAGAAAGTAACATGGGAGTAGATTCTAACTCCTGTCTTGTCCCACTCCCACAGAAAAAACTATCTAGTCCCGTCCCAATCCCGTAAAAAAAAAAAAAAAAAAATCCTTTCAAAATGTTGGCAGCTTTTCTATGATTTTCCCTTTGTTTTGTTTTTTGAGGGTATAGGATTAAAGTATTCATCAGAGGGTATAGGATTAAAGTATTCATTCTGCCTGAATTAATTGTTTAATCGTGGTATTTTCGAACCTTTTATTATTCAAGTCTTCCACAATTATATAATAATCTTATTGCTTGATTGTTTAATTTTAAAGCATGTTTAAACATTTAATCCACATTTAGACCAGTTTGAGTAGTCTTTTTACTAAACCAGTTATTATGCGTAAGTATTGTTGTGAATGACAATTTCTACTTGAGTAAAACTATGTTTAAGTAGAGGCACCCTTAGTTAATTTTTGGCTACTATACCTCTGGTCTTTACTGTACCCTCACCGTTTAGGGGTGGGGTCAGATCTGCCTACTAGAATTGGGAGCCATATCTATGTGCAGACCTTTTATTTGTGAGGCTCCTCTCCTGTGGAACCAACAACCAATTTTAGTCTGTAAGGCAGACACCCTCTCTACTTTTGAGACTAGGCTTAAAAATGTCCTTTTTGATAAAATTTAGTGACTCACATTATCCTGAGCTATCTCTATAGTTAAGGTGCTTTAGGCTTGAGCTGCTGGAGAACATAGTGAATACACAATCCTGCCATATTCAGTTTCTATTCTCCCATTCTGCAGTATTTGTTAGTTCAACCTCTAACTGTACGATCTCTCCGTTTTTCTTTTTATGGTAGCTTTATCTGTCCTGGTTGTGACATCATCCTGGAAAGAATTATCAGCCTCCCTCAACACCTGTTTTTTGTTTACTTTTAGTATTGATTCCTGTTTCTCTCCTCAACATGGCTATGCACTGTAAAAACAATCTAGAAATAAGTAAAAATTACATAAATTAAGTGTATTTACTCTTAATTTAAGTAGGTAAATGATATTGTCTGTCAATGGAATGAGATGTTTTTCTCTTAAAATTAGATAATATGCACTTGAACAATGCAACCATTTATTTCTTTTTTTTAATGTACATTGTCTTGTTCCATTGGCAAAGTGTCTCACCTCAATTCAAGAAAAAAACACTTATTTTAAGAAAACAGTTTTTTGCAGTATAGGCTCAGCTTTTACCCTTTGACATGAAAACTGAAATTGTTTTAAAACAATTTATTTTCTATATCCATTTATTTTATGCTTTATTTTTTAAATATTTTTAAACTACATTTTCTTTAGATTCTTTAAAATGATGCAACATTTCTTCCCTGCTGCTGGGGTTACTCCCCTCTTGGTGCCAACAGAAACTTATTGAAGCCCTGCAGTTTCCAACTTCTTTCTAAGAGATGGAAAGCGAAAGCAATGTTAACTTTCGTTTTCCTGACTTACAGCTGATTCGGTTATATAAAGCAGCTGTCTGTGCTGCAGCATTCGGAGGACAAACACTGCTTCAACATTTCAGAGGTTCTTCAGACATCAGATTATAAAGAAAGATGAGCAGAGGATCCACTGGTAATATTTGCCTTTTTCAGACATAGAGAAATGTGATTCACTTTACTTTTGTTTGTTTTTTTTTGTTTTGTTTTGTTTTTTTTACTTTGGGTTGAATCAAGGGTGCTGGTGCGTTTAAAAAATGTTTTTTTTTTTTTTTTTTTACATAGAGTTAATCTTGGTAATGATAACTGTAATTTAAACTAAAGATCTATCATCTATGCACATTGTTGAAAAGCATAGGTGCTTTAAAGGAAGGATGAAGTCAGAGCTCCAGAGTAAACAACTTGATAAACATTCAGTGCTAATAACAGAGACTAAAAACATTGAGAAAAGAATTATATCCAGTTAAATAGTTAAAGTAAATAGTTAAATATGCACCAGTTTAGGGTTGGTCTATACTAATCAGGAGTCTTCCTTATATTTAAAGAACCACAGCCTAACCAATTTAATGTGTTTGTTATGTGAAATTATAAATTATTAATTCAGACATCGCAGACATAAACATATATACAGATATATTAGCAAAGGGGTTCATTAAAACTTTGTTTGTCTTTTGTAGCTTATCATTTTCGTGTTATTACTAACATTAAACACAAAAACTAGTTCTTTAAATTGCACGAAATCTGCATGGTTCATCTTAAATGTTAGTATATTGACATGCATAATAATGATCCTGTTTTTTTTTCAATCAGTTTATTGTTAATATACTATTATATTTTTATGTTGACGGAGAAAGGGCATTCCACTTCATGGTATCACCACTGCCTTCTTCTGGTTAAGAGGTGAACTGCTTAAAAAATACAACGCAAACTCTCATAGAGAATTAAAACAATATATAAACAGACGCTAGGGGGCAGTACAGACAAAAGGAAACAATAAATGAGCAGGATGATGCAGAAAACAACAGCAGTAACTGAAAAATTTGGAGGCTTATCAACACAGCTGACCTCCAGTCTTTTAAAGCAGCCAAGGAGCAGTAGTACATTTTCAAGTCATTTAAGAAACAAAGAAAAAAAAAAAGGCTTTTCTTTTAGGGCTTCTCCACTTGCAGCAATACATATGATATTTTGCCAATAATAGCAAATTATTTACCACAGTACATAAAGAAGAATTCAGGTTATCGTTGAAAAACAAAATGTGTGACGAATGAAACTGTGTAATCCTGAGTTTAAGATTTAAACAGTCTTAAACATCTTAAAAAAAAAAACAAAAAACTGAGTAGCGCCATTCCAAAAGTAAGTGGCAAATATATTTGATTTATTGGTTACAAAAGGTGCATGGCTCAACCACATCTAGAAATTGGCTTATGGTGCCTTCACAAGGGAGGCACTAGTAGTGAATCATCCACTAAGGCAATGGATTATATTGAAGCTCTTCCTATTTGATGATGTGGTCCAGGGTGTAAACCAGGGGTAAGTCCAGTCCTCAAGAGCTACTATCTTGCAACTTTTTGATGCGCCCCATTTTTAACACACCTGAATCAAATGAGTGGCTCGTTACCATGCCTCTGCTGGGCTAAATGAGGGGATTGAGCCTTTTGATTCAGGTTTGTTAGAGAAGAGATGCATCTAAAAGTTATAGGATAGTAGCTCTTAAAGACTGGACTGGAGCATCCCTGGTGTAAACCCTGTGCATCTGAAATGCAGACCGGTGAACTACAAGCAGGGCTTCACCGAGTACCATTACAGGGTATAAAAATTTGTCTCTTTTACCTTTTGAGAAATTGGGCTTTTAAAAACATTGCAGTGAGCTTTAACCATCAACACATCTATCTAATGTCTTAAGAATGTCTTTTGTAATCATGGTAGATCATCTGCTTCAATCCACCATTGATAGTCTTGTTATTACACCTGTCATCCACCAGCTTACAAACATTAATCCTGAACTTGGGTAGTGCAACTGTTCCTGAGAATATAGATTTATTAAGAGAATCTATTAAGAGACACAGTGCTTCAAATATCATTGTAGAACATTTTGATTAGAGCACAAAAATGGCTTCCAAACCAGAATTTGAGGGCTTTAATATAAAACAAATGTTCTAGTGTATCAAAATAAGATAATCTTATATTGGTTTCTGGAAAATGACCAGTTCAAACTCCTAGGGTCGTGCATAAAAATGTTACTATTTTAACCATGCAGAGTAATTTGGAAAGCGTTTTGTGCATAATAGGATTAAGACTTTCTTTCTTTGTCTATTCATACAGATTGGAGTCCAGGCTTCTGGCGCGACATATTTGATGAACTGCTGTATGATGACAATGAGCTGAATTATGGAGATGAATGGACTCTGAACTTTAACTACACACAGACAGACGAAGTCACCAAAGAACAGAGGAGGAAAGGCTGGAAGGTGTATTCCCACTGTGCCTATGGAAAGTATGTGATATGCTTTTCTTATAGTGGGGGGAACTTGGGGGGAACAAATGTTCTCTGCATCATTGAACTACACTAACTCTGCAAGCTGCCAATTTTATATAATTCAATTGGAAAGAGAAAAACTTCTCTGAAATAAAATCTAACATCTGCATCCATCTTCTTGTTTGTCTCATAGATTCCAGTGTGGATCCTGTGGTAAAACCTGGCCTTCAGCTCGAGCAGTGGTGCTGTTCCGCTACCGGCTGCGAGGTGGCAGGGGTACAGTGATCATGCGACCCTTTGGTCAGGCATGTCGTCGTTGCCAGGATGAGGAATTTGATCTCCCGGGTTTCTCCAGAAAAGAAGTGGAACATGCTTTGCTCAGGCTTATTTCAAAAATCCGGAAAAATATTTACGGGGAAGAGGAGGAAAGCGACGATGGATCTTCAACAACCTCTAATAAAGTGTGGACCAAGCCCCATGAGAAAAACCTGTGCCAGGCCTGTCTTCTGGGCATCTGCTGTCAGGACGACGACTGAAAGAAAGACATGTCATTTTTGAGTTTTTATTCTCAGGTTGTAAATATCATGGTGTCTTTTTAGATACAATGTGATGTAGAATATTGCACAATTTTGGGGCCAAAAAAGAAAAAATCAGCTTATCTAATTTTAAAAAGTTACTTCCTGTTATGGGGTTAAAGAAAACTATAGCGTTTTGTTTTTATATTTTAAAGCACTAATCCTGAATTTTGTTTGAGTATAATAAGTCTCTGAGTACAAGTAGGAGTCTTGATTGTTTTTTACAAGGTTTTCCATGAAGTTGTGAACAATGAGGCACTGTTATGATGTTTTCATATATTTTTATATATAAATATATATATACATATATATATATATATATATATAAACACTTGTATATTTCTCTTGTATATTAAAATAAAGACTTTTGAATACTTGTCTTCCATCAGCGGTGTCACAATTTGATTGCTAAAGATATAAGATTCACCATAGTTACCAAGGTTTCAGTGTTTTTTTTCATTCATTACATATGATCTTATAGTCCATATCTAGGACTGATACTATAAGATAATATTACAACTTCCTTCATAATATCTTAACCTCTAATACAGATATTAGGAGGACTGATATTATAGTTTAAAAATTGTAGCCAAAGGTTTTGCAGCAAATTCTGCATTTGGAGAAACTCCAGGATATATCCTTAGTCTATGATCTTTTCTCCTATTTTGTTCTTTAATAAATATAACATTTATTTTTCCATACAATGATTTATTACTGGATCTTTTTTTGAAGATAAAGGTTGGGCGCTAATCTCTCTTAATATCCATGGAGAACAGCAGCCATATCTGTATCTGCCTTAAAGTTGTTCTGAAGATCTGGTTTTCTCTTGGGAACATTTACAAAATGTCTACCATAAAATTACAACTCACCAAAAAAAAAAACTTTGCTTAAAATTGACCTTTAATGTAACTTTTGCTAAAACTGTAAGTTTGTTCTCTCTGTTTTGTTTTGTTTTACAATTATTTTATTTATAAAGCCATTAGTTAAAAAAATCTAAGAGTGCTTTGATAAGAAATTTGTAAAAAAAAAAAAAAAAAAAAAAAATACTTTTTTGTTAGAACATGCTTTTTAACCTTTTAGACTAGCTTTTGTAATATTTTACTTACCTTTTTAATTTTTTATTGAATAACTCTTTTTGAACTTAACTTCCTGTAGTTAACGTCACACACAGTAGGCAGCAGATTACTGTGATATTTTTTTTGAAAAAGTTACACCCTGCAGACCACATTTGACCACTTTGTTGAAAGTTGTTGTTTATATCAAGTTACCAAAAAACTTGATATAAGTAACCAAAAAATTATAACATTTAAATGATCATATTGTATTTTATTTTATTCTATTCTCAGTTCTATCCTTTTTACTATTCCTCTGTTGTCCCCTACTGGTGATCTGTAATGGATCATGTACCCACCTCTCACCCAGGAGAGAGACATGCACCAGTAATCCTGTAAATAAGTGGAGACAATGGAAGGATGACTTTTAAACGAATTTCTTGTTTGTATGACTCTGGGTTAGGTATATTATATTTTCTCCTTTCTTTATTCTCTTATCTGCAAAGTCCACTTAAAATTATGAAAGCTGTTCTATAGTTTGATTGATTTTGATAGGTTTTCTCTCATCCCTTTGTGAATATTATAAAACAATTACTTCATTGTTTTGAGTAATTAAAGATCACAGTCATGGCCGTAACCAGGATTTTTGAAATACCGAGGTCAAATATTGCAGTAAATCTTACTTGACAAAAAAACATCCTAATATGGTGACTTTTAAAAATATATTTTGGAAACGTGAATAAAGATAGTTAAATCACAATAAAAGAGAGTTAAATCACAAGTCCATCAAGGAGGTGAATATGAACATGTTTATTATAACAATTCCAAAACTCACAAAATTAGAGTATTTGAGTGAGTGAGTGAGTGAGTGAGTGAGTGAGTGAGTGAGGTAGTGAGTGAGTGAGTATGAGTGAGTGAGTGAGTGAGTGAGTGAGTGAGTGAGTATGAGTGAGTGAGCGAGTGAGTGAGAATGAGTGAGTGAGTGAGTGAGTAAGAATGAGCGAGTGAGTGAGTGAGTGAGTATGAGTGAGTGAGTGAGTATGAGTGAGTGAGTGAGTGAGTGAGTATGAGTGAGTGAGTGAGTGAGTGAGTATGAGTGAGTGAGTGAGTATGAGTGAGTATGAGTGAGTATGAGTGAGTGAGTGAGTGAGTATGAGTGAGTGAGTGAGTGAGTGAGTGAGTATGAGTGAGTGAGTGTAGTTGTTATTAATATTGAATTATTATTACTACTATTAGTATTTTCACCATCATCACCATGCATGTGCATGGGCTACAAAATGAATCAAATGACTTGCAATAATATATTGTGGACTTTATTTTTTTTTAACAATGAGAATGCATGCTGATCTTTACACCAATCAAAGTCAGAACAATTTTCAACATATAGTTTGACATTTCTCATCAGCCATGATCGTATAGTGGTTAGTACTCTGCGTTGTGGCCGCAGCAACCCCGGGTAAAATCCGGGTCACGGCATGTGTTGAATGTGTGTAATAAAGTAATTTCCTTCTGGCAATATTAAAAAATATCTGATTCTTTGAATAAAAAAATAATAATATTTTTTCAAAAACTGGGAAAATACCGAGGACATGATCTCGGTTTTTCTCAATGCTGGCTACGGGTCTGATCACAGTAAAGTTCTTTTGAGTATCATTATCGTTTTTTTGTTGTTGTTGGTTTTTTTTTTTTTGTCAGCTGTCTGTTTGCCAGGAAGTAGGCGGACCACCATAGCGAGACGTCAGCGCTTACATCACTTGTCTAGGGGTCTCTTTGTCAGAACTGCGCATGCGCGCTGTATCCTGCTCTGTGTGTTAGCAACAACAAAAGTAAAGCCGGAGCAGAGTCCGCTGTCAGCAGCATCTTCTCTCCCGTCCTCTGCCGCCGGGCTCAGCTGGCTGAGAGGATGCTTAAGCAAAACGGAACCCGGAGAAGCGAATGACATTTGTTAGACGATGGCACCCCAGTTCCCATACGTGTAAGTAAAGGCAGCTGGAGCTAACACACAAACAGCTAACCATAGAAGAAACACGCAGAGACAGCTGGCTAGCCGCGGTAACAGCACCGAGGGAGGCTGCTGGGTGTTTTTCTAGGGGCTGTTGGTGGTAACGCTTCTCCCAAAATAAACCGTTTTTTTAAACAGCTGAGCTGTAAACGGGTTAGAGCGAACATAAAAGCTCATAACTTGCAGCATTTATGCACACCTCCCCATTGTTTGGTTGGTGATCCATACAAACTGTCAGCGGGTTTGAAACAAAGGAGCGTTAAAAAGAAAAAGAGAGAGACCGAGGGGGGGCCGCATGGTCAAACACATGCAGAGAGAAGTGGGCTGTTTGCTGCTCCATTTCTGGATGGAAACAAGCCGAGGTCTGACCTGGATATGTAGCTGATCCACTGTGACTAGGCTAATTTGGCTAAAAGTCGCTCCGTGTGTCATCACAGCTGCTTCAACAAGTTTTATAACTGTTTGGACAAATAGACTTTGTTAAACTACTGTTAAACTGTAGCAGATGAGGGGATTATTCACCATCCTGTTATTGTTTTATGAGGCGAGGAGCAGTGAAGGTGGTTTCACTTACAAAAAATGCTATTAACTTGATGTTATTCTTGGATTCCACTTATATGACTATATTAAAAAATCTTGTTAAGTATTAGTCTTAGTTAATAACAGATTATTTATTCCCAGACCTTGATTAGTATTACGTAATAAGGAACAAAAGGTTTTTATTATAACCACTATAACTGAAGTAACTTTAAAGGACTTTATAAAGAGATGCATAGTAACACAATGCTGCCCCTCCTCCACCTATTGCTTCATGTTGCTTTCTAGCTAATTGGAAGAACTGTCTTAACTTTTCTTTTCTTTAAAAAAAAAAGGTACATTTTCCTGTTAGGTGTTTCTATGTAAAGTAAAGAAGCTGAATGACTTATTGGTTTTACCCCATTTAGGTGTTATATGCATACTGCCCAGTGTAGCAAATAACACAGATATGAAACCTGTGATTGGTTGGGATATATAAGGCAGTGTGGTAAGTGCTGTGTCCTCAAAGCAGATTTGTTAGAATACAAAAACAGTAAAAGGCAAGCATCTAAGTAAGGCTGATAAAAGCTAAGTGTGTAAAATTGTAGTTCTTATGTGGTGTTCCCAGTCTGTGATGGAAGAGGAAGGAACTGGCAACAAGGAAACGGTGAGCCATGGCCACTGATGCATTTTGAGGAGCAAAGGCTTCCCCAACAGGTTATCCAGTGAGCTCACGTTACTGTGAAAAATAATGCTGGTTCTGATGCATGACTGGTTTCAAATCAGGAAGTCTGTTAAGCAGCCAGCTGGATGACTGAGTAGATAACCCTAAAATGTTAGTTTAATATAGGCTACTTGTGTCAATGAATGAAGGGCAGAAATGCAAAATGTTTAGTATGGATTTCTTTCTGTCTTTATTTTCCTGAATGTAGAAAAATTAAAGGAAAATAATGTGAAGCATTTGTTTCTTAATAATTTAATAATTGTTTTTTATTTGATCTTTAGCAGCAATAGAAATAACTTGTTTCCCTGAAGCTTGGAGAATTTGTCATTTTATTTGTTAATCATAAATCCGGGTATGAAAAAAATAACACCTTAAACATACTTTAAACCGCAGTCTGAACTAAACTTTGATACTGTCTCTGTGCTTGCATTTGATCAGTTTTCTGATTGTTGCTTAAAGATCACGACAAATTGACAAAATTCATCCAATCATCAGTCTTTCCTCTAGTTTTGTTTTCTTAACCTATTCCGAAACAACTGAGTGGGAACTGTTTAAATCAGGCTTGAGCAGCCTGCTGGAATAAATTAAACGTATTACTCTTTGTGGGTTTTTCCATGATAAGCTTTATATATCTGCTTTCTACACTGAAAAGTTTGCACGGAATCGGTCCAACGTTTCTGACCACTGGGTGACGTGTTCCTCTTACACTGCATTATAACTTTCAGGAAGGCCGCCAAGTTCAACCTGTGTAATCCCTGGAATTCCTAGGTTCCTTCTTCACCAGACTCCCTGCCCTTATTTAGTAAAAGAGGCAGAGAGGGTGAAGTGAACTGGAAGTAAATTGTTGTGCAAAAAAAAAAAAAAAAAAAGAGGGAGGGAGGCAGACAGACTGACCCATTAACTGTTGCTACTGACTTCACCAGTCTGGTTCTATTGAGAAGCAGAATGTTTTAAGAGAACTTAGAAATGTTCTCATTCTTGGCAGCTTCATCGTCATGTGATTGGGGGGGGGCTCATTGAGAGGTTTCAAAGCTCAGGTCTTTTTGTAAAGACCAGACAGATGGCTATAGACTAAGGACTGTAATGATACACTCGGCAGCCCAGCACGCACGCAGACCCATGCACTCGTCACACACTTCACTCGTTACGGGACATTGCTGTGTGTATGCTCGTGCGTTTTACACAGACTAAACTGTTTCTAAGGAAGAGAGAGAGGTGGGGAGGATCAGGAAGGAAACGAAGTAGAACACGTTGATAAGGACGGTGATTATGTACAACATGCTACCAGAGGAAGACGCTGTGTTTGTTTGTGTTTGTCTCCCTCTCTGTTTGTCATATCTAAAGAAAAAGTCTCATAAATGAGAACAGATCAGAGGATTAACATTGCTGGGATAAAGATATTTGGCTTCATTACAGATTTTTTTTTTTTTTTTTTTGCTCTTGTCACTCAAAAAAAATAAATAAAGTAAGTAAAGATAAGCTGATAAAGAAAGCTCTCTAATCCAACCTGGCATCTCTGTCTGGACATAAAGCAAAAATGACGGGACTCTTTTTATTATCAGCGTTTCTGTGGGAGCAGCCATTGCTGTGATTTTTGGGTTTAGTGCTGACCAGAGAAAGTAAAACTGCTCCGGCTCGGTGCATCAGTGCTGCATGGTTTAACTCGCTCTCAGACCTTCAGTGCCTGGAAAGTGTATAAACTGTGTAATAATATGCAGCTATTTCCCTCTAGACTCCCCAGTGGCCAGCTGTGGTGATATTGACAATGCTTTTCATCATCTGACTTGCAGATCAATAACGGGTATCATTAACTGACTCTTCTAGCTTCTACCTCTCAGTTCTTATCTTCCTTCCTTTCTTGGTCCTTCTCTCTGTTTTCTTTTATGTCTGCGGAGATAACGTCCTCGTTGCAGAACATCAGCTGATCAATCGATGCGCTGATCGATTGGGGCTCTTTCCCTCCATCTTTTCTTTCTTTATCGCAACTTCAAAGTTCCCTGTCATTTCCTTCATAACCTTTTTTCTTTCTGTTTACTTAGTCCTCCTCCTGTGTGGCACTGTTTCCTCCAATCAATCTCCTGCCTTTCTCTTATGTGCAGGGAAGGAGGATGCAGAAGCATGTTGCTTTAAAGTGTGACCTGCGGTGAACGGGGGAGGCAGAAAAGGAGGAGGAGGAAGAGTGAGGTGTAGGCAAGCATTGAGTGATCTGCCACAGCTCCCAGTAGGGGGCCCACTGCAAGCGGAGCGCAATGGGCAACACGGCCACCAAGTTCCGCAAGGCGCTGGTGAGCGGGGACGAGGCACTGGCTTGGCAGCTGTATGAGGGCAACCCTCAGTTCAGGGACGGCCTGGACCCAAACGCATCATACGGGGAGCAGTACCAGCATAACACACCTCTGCACTACGTATGTCGCCATGCCATGACTCGGCTGCTCAGGTTTGTTATTCACTTTTTTTTTTTTTTTACTTTTTTTCAGGCGGATATCAAGAAAAGCAATGAGTCATGAGTGAATTGAGATGGAAAAGAATAGGTTCATCACAGAGATTCTGAATGACGCCACAGTCCACAAGGAAATGTATCAGCCTTGAGTTTAAAAGAAATGAAATCTCACTTAATTTGTTATGAAACTGCAGTTACAGGGGCAAAAAAAAAACAGTTGCATCACAGGCCGTTGTTATACAATTATCTTCCATTACTAATTTAATCCCTGAAAAAAAAGATCTCATAAAATTTTAAGGTAAGTTGATCAGAGACACTGATCAGTAAGCATTTGTTTCCCCTCAAACAAAACTACACCCTAGAAACGTCCTTGACCTTAAATCTCCCACAGCTCGGTCTGCGTTTTATTTTCCACTGTGTTGCAGGTTTTATTTTCTCTGCTTTCAGAGTTATTTCTTATGTAACTGCCAGTTTGACTACCAAGGATATAACCTCACATTTAGCTGAAAATTACAGAAATGCATGGCAGCCTTGTGGTAAGCCCAGATCGTCATCCCTGCACCACCATGCTTCTTGTAGATATACGTTATATCTCCTGTTTGCTTTCCACTAAACCTGCTACAGTGTACTATATGTCACCAGTTATATTTCATATTTTAAAAGGAGACTATTCAATAAGACTTTCAGTTGGTTAAAATAAGGTGAGAAAAAAGGTCTAATTTAATCAATTTCAACCAAACTACACTTCTCTGGTCTTTCTATCTTTTTGTTATCATGACACTGAACTTTTATCCTATATATGAACGTGAAGAGTTCACATTTTTTGATGATTTCTTTCTCTTCTGAGAGCTACAGTAGCTAATCTTGGAGATTTTCCTGGAACATCCCCTCCTTAGACGAATGCCTATGACCTAAGTTTAAAATGACGAAGCTGGTCTCTGGTTTGTACTTCCACATTTGCTGTTGCTGATAAGTAATTGATTAAATATGTTTTGCTACTTTATCTTTAAATACATTAGCAGTCTTCTTTTTTCATTAGTGTTTATCTGAATAAACACTGATCTGAATAAAAATAATCTAAATATGTACTATTTTTAATTTAAAAAGAATAGAAAACACAGAATCTTTAACAGTATATCAGTTTAAACACCCCTGCAAAGTCACAGGGGTCCCTGTCACGTACGGTTATCGCCAGCCATTCTCTATAAACAGTCGCAAACGGCACTTGGCAAGTTGTTTTAAACTGCATTTATGAAATGAGTTTGCAAAGAGCTTTACAAACATCACTGCACTAATGCTGAGTGCTGCTAAAACAAGATCTACAAGATAGAGTAGCCGTTACGTAAGAGCATGAAAACAGTCTTCCTGGGTAGCAGTTTAGAATATATTGTTCTAACTATGGTTATAACTATTATTTTTGCAAATCGAGTAATAAATAATGCAAATAATTTTTTTGATTTAATCAATTAATAAACAGATGGCCAAAGGTTCCTTAAAGAAGACTTTTTTATAAAATTAAACCAGGTGAATTTAGGACATTTCCACTTGAGGAGATCTAGATAGAGCAAATTGACAGACACATTTTTTTTTATCTTAAATGCAAGATGTTTACATCGTTTGTTTTTTTTACACTTTTGGTATAGTTACTGCTCTAACTGGGTTGCTCTGTCAGCTAAAGACATGTTTTAGAGTCTCTACACTCCATTTAATCGATTACTAAATTAGTTCAATAATCGATTAATCAAGATTAATCCGATTGATTGTTGCAGCTCTAGTTAGGACATCCAAATAATGCCGGAAGATATGGTAGCCCGCAATTATATCAACATATTCGATTTTTGTTTCTTTGTTTTTTTAGGGGGGGGGGCTTTTGAGTCGATGTTTTAGTCTATCTGGGTATTTCTTTCTGCTTGGAAGTCTGATTTTCTCAGCCAATTGCTTGATTTGGAGGCTGAGCAGTAATGGTTAAGAGTCTTCAGAGATTCTCATTTAAGTTTAGGTAGTGACTTTGACTAGGCCATTCTAGCTTAACGATATGCCTTAATCTAAGCCATTCCATTGGAGGTCCGGTTGAATTTTTACTGTAATTGTCCTCAGAGTGGCCGGTGTTGAATAAAGGGGTCTTCTTACGTCCTACTTTCTCCTTGAAACCCTTTCAGAAATCTTGCAGTTGTAAAATATAAGAACCCTACCATATACTTAGAGTTATAATTGTCGCAGTATGAATATTCAAGTTTGGGAAGGACTGCTTGGACTGAAATAAATATTGGCTAATTAAATAAGTAGCGTGTCGAACCGCGACTAAAATGGTAAAACCCCAAATTAAACAGATGCAACTTGTTTTATAAAACAATATTTGAAGATATAATTAACATATATAATTTGTCAACGATCTCGATTGTTATACCCTGAAGTGTAGTACAACACCTCTTTATAAGCATTACTAGACCTGTTATAAAAAAAAAAGTGCAGTGTTATCATTTGGTGTCAGAGTTAGTTTAATTTATATATATATATATATATATATATATATATATATATATATATATATATATATATATATATATATACCAGGTCATCAGCATTGTTTTACAAGCTGAAGATGTGGAGAAGGATTTAATTAAGCCGACGTCTGAACATGGATTTATGAAAGAAGAATCCGTCTTACTTTTCTTTATGGATTATATTCACTTTTTGATGTAGGTTGTGCTCATATTTTAGGAACAATTTCTTCAGGGTCTTCTCTACTTAATGAAAGTACAATGCTGAATCTCAACAGCTCCCCTGTAAGAGTATTATTAGATTGTAATCCTCTGCATTGTGCTGTTGGGAGTCTCAGTTTCTTCACATTCGATTAAAGTATCTGCTCTTGAACAACTGGTCTGACAACAACACTGTCAAGACAAGAGGCCTTAAGCAGCCCTGCTACGTCTTAAGTCAAAATATAATGGTCAACCTAAGGAACAAATGTGGATTGAGACATCAGTGTGTTGTTTTTTGTTCCTCCTGTAGAGATTTTTTTTTTACTGCTGGCAGAGACAGCTGGATATTTAGTCAGGGCCTTTTATCTCCTCCTTAGCCTTTCTTTCCACCATTCAAACAGGAAGCTGTTGGAAAAAGCCAGTCAATTATATGTGCATCTGCATGTGTGCATGAACATTTAGGTTCTGTGGGGGAAAAAATCAAGGGCTGCTTAATGTGTCTGAGAACATTGCACACGGCGAATCAATTGGTGTGCTATTTGTGTTCCTTTCCACTAACCTATAATAGGCCTGGGAGGCGTGCTGAATGTTGCGCTCCCTTCTGATAAGCGTTGCAGGAAATGCTTCTTTGTTCCAGCAGCCTCACTTGGACGGAGACAAGCGGAGAAATCTCAGACAAAATACGGACTATTATAAGAAGACAGGCTGGGTGCACAGTTAGGGTTTCTTTTTTTCCCCCCTTTCCCAAATTATTTTTAACACGTCTCGTTCATTCTTAGTCATGCTTCTAAAGTTGGCTTGTGATATATTCCTCTGAGAAAACTGAGGGAAACAAACACAACTTCTATAGGAAAAGGGACGAAGATCAGGAAGTGTAACCTTAATAATCCTTTCTACTCATTAAGAATTTTAAACCTTCATTTCCCACAGAGACCTATACATTTTTACCCCATGTTTTTCTTAAAGTTGACCCCCGAGAGCTTTTTTCCAAGTTGGACTCAACTCTGTTCAGCTCGAACGGAGGGCTTTTGTGCATGTAAATGTGTTGAGGCTCGGGGTATTGGTTTGGAGCTGAGAGGGAATAATTAATGCTTATTACTGTGCGAGTGAACTGGCTGTGTGCTGTGATTAGAGCAGGCTGCAGGGGCCTGTGGCTGACAGGATAAGTGGGTCGAGCGGGGAAATGCAGGGCTGCATATTCGGAAGCACTTTTGATTCTTCTGCCCCGTTCAGACCAGGAAATGAACTGGTTGTCCTGGATGTTCTGATTACATCCAGGTAGAAGTTAAACACAGGTGTGAACACACTCACGCTCCCGACTGTCTTTGTTTGCCAAAGTAGGGAGATAGTGGTTTATATAGCTACCATGGGAGGGGTGATTTAGTGGTTTCGATTTCTTTTTTATTTTATTTTGTATTTTAAGTTTCTGGTTTTTGATCTGCGCTCTGACTTAGACCAGTTCAATTAATGGTCCTAATCACTCATCTTTTAAAAGAGTAAGCAGGCCTGATGGGTATAAATGACAGAAGGGTGTGATATTTAATATTCTTATCAAAAATAATAAGCTGCTAAAATCAATTAACTTGCAGTGGGGTTGTAATTGTTAATTTGTATAATTTAGTAACAATATTTAACCGTCAGAAGATATTTAGTGATATGCTGCTGTAAAAAAACACCAGCTGGATAAAAGGGAAGCAGACGGAGCAAACAGGAATTTTTTTTTTGCAATTTTGCCGATCCAATGGAGACGGCTTTTTATTAGCTTGCCATGCTTAACTTCAATATTTCATGCCAAAGACAAGTTAAAAAGTCACCTTCTTTGTTTTTCTCGATTTATTTTAGAAAGCGCAATATATACATTTTATTCAATGCATTGTATGTATGTATTTTTTTCATGATTGGTATCGATATGTTGGTGACTTAAAGGGATCATAGAATGCAAAACCGAGTTTTCATCGTCATAGATGGATAACGATAGTTCAGTGGGTGAAATGGACGTACAGAGAAGTTCAAACCCCATCGACTCCTCCTTTCTCTCCAAATCTCACAATTCTAAACTTCCACCATAAAACAGGCGAATTCAACAGGCTTGCGTTAGGGCTCATAGGACAGCAAATATGCCATTTTCAGCCCAACCAATGTTACACACCCCATTCAGAGACCTTAAGGAACAGCCCCAAATGCCCTATGTAATCAACGGCAATGTTAACAAGTTATATTGTTAGTGAACAAAATTTTTATACTGATGCACACCTACATTTTTTTTTTCTTAGCCATTATTTTTAGGGATGCACAATATAATCGGCCCACCATCGGTATCGGCCTGTATCAGCCTTAAAACTGAATATCGGACATCGGCCACCCCACCGATATTTAACCTGATATTTGATCAGCTTCTGAGTTTCTATAGTCTAAAAAAAAATACTACTTCTTCTTCCTTAAAAACTTCTAAAGACGAGGGAAAAAATATTGATACATTAAAATATCACAATATCTTCATATGCTGATACTGTATATTGCCATTTAAAAACACCATATCAATCTCTTTTATTAATGAAATATTGCTATATGTCATCGTTATTCTACGAAATCCCCCGAAAATTCACGAAACTTTGCCATATTTTTATATGTTGATATATTGACGCAGTATCGATCTATTTTACTAACAAAATCTCACGAGAATTAGCAAAATATCACGAGAGTTTGTAACAGAACGATGAAATATCACGAGATTTTGAAAGTAAAATAGATCGATACCGCGTTTTTAAAAATCAATTTGATATCAGCATATGAAAATATATTTGAGTATATTATTTTTCAAAGTGTCAGAAATGGATAACAAAACTGCTATTTTCAATGACTACTTATATTTGTCCAACTTTAACACCGGTATCGGTTATCGGCTACGTGAGTTTTAAAATATCGGCATATCGGATATCGGCCAAAATCCCAATATCGTGGATCCCTAATTATTTTATGTAAAAGCTGTTACAGATGTGGTGTGACATTGGAGCTAATTTAAATAACCTAATTATAACCATCATCCTAAAGATTTATTTTTTTTTATCTCTTTTTGTTTTGTTTTTATTCTCAAATTCTTTCTTCTTTGCAACACTGGGACATTAGGATGCAAATGCTTTTTAGTGGCCTCCCTACAAAAATGTAAATTTACATTATTTTACTTTAAAATATTCAGTTTTAAATACTTTTTTATTTTTTATTATTATTTTTTTTTATGAAGGGTGCTGAGCTGTTGAGTAGCTTTGCTTCAAAAAGGAAAATAGATGTGGAGAAATACTAATAATAATGAAATACTAATAATGATGTGGAGAAATACTAATAACAAACGTTTTCACGTGTTTGTTGCACATTTACAGGCAAATATCTTTTGGATCATTTGGATCCTAAGATGGTTATGGTGAGCGAATCATCTAGGATAGATTTTAAGGACATTGTGAGGCTTGTCTGAATAACCTATCGTGAGTTAAACTGTCACATTTTAAGGGGAACAGGCTTTTGATTTTTATAATCCGTTATGTCTTGTTTTATTTCTTATTAAATTGGAATGAGAAAGACTCATAGATCTAAAAGAATCAGGTTATCTGAGTTCATCCTTTTCCGTTGAATAAGCATCACGGTGCCAAATAAAAGCTCTAATCTGTAAATGGGGACTTTGACAGACAAACGGCAAAAGGAAAACTATTTGCTAAACAGAACTACAGCAACATCCTGACTCTTGCAACAGGCTCATTCGTTTAATCCCCATGTGTCAGCCAGCATGACAATTATCTCAGAGATGTTGAACAGAAATGGTCGATATTTTATCATTTTGCCTCTCCTCCTTCTATCTGCTCTTCCTCTGGAGTGTCCTGACATTTCCGGGCATCTGTGTTATTATTCTTTCTTGTCTTGTATTTTCTTGAGCCTTCCTTTCCAGATTATTTCTTATTTATTCCTCCGACACACTGTTTTTATTCTGCTTTTCACCTATTGTCTTCTCTCTTGGTTGCTCCAAATAGGTCGTTCCTGTTCAGCAAAGAGGGAAACCCAAACAAGCGTAATGTGCACAATGAGACGTGCCTCCACGTGCTGTGCCAAGGCCCGCAGATCCTGCTTCTGCCAGAGGGAGCGCTGTCTCCGCGGCTGGCCCGACCGCAGAGGGATGAGCAGCGCCGCTCAGACTGCCTCCAGGTACGACCAAACCAATGATACCTGGTTTACATGCTCTTTCAACAAAGTTAACAACCAAAAAACAAATGATGTGAGGGCAGATGATCCTGAGCTGGACTGGAGCTAGGCTGGAAAGTGGCCAGTATGAGAAGGCCAACGTGAACACCACCGACAACCACCACAGCACCTGTCTGCACTACGCTGCTGCTGCAGGAATGAAGAGCTGCGTGGAGGTGAGACTGTAGTTAAGATGACATACTCTTAAAAAAACAACACAAAAACTCACCAAGCCAAGCTTTTCATTCACTTTAAAAAAAATTTTAAAGTACATGTATGTAACTTGGGTGAAAGGAAATCAATGTCTTCCCAAATAAAACAAGAATGCATTTTTCAGTGCAGTCATTGCTGCGCGTCTTCTGGACCATGTCTCTACCAGCTTTGAACTTTTGAAACTTTCCTTTTATTTATGTTCTTTCATTTTGGATGCAGAGCCGCAGTAAATATCAGCTCATATTAAGACTAGTCAGATTTCAACTGATTCATTCTGCAGCAAACAAAAAGTTGCGGTGCTTTTATTCTGTTTAACCTAAAAACAGCATATTTAAAGCTCTTTTCGAATTAACACCATCATATATATGAAAGGCACATTATTAAACCTGGAATTATTAATTATTCTAAAGAGGTCACATAACATTAACTAATGTTAGCAGAGCTATGGATTTTTTTTAATGTTAAGTTATCCACAAGCTTAAGGTTTTCTTTGTAGATGAAGCTTTATATGAGAGAAGCCTTGTGTCTCAAGTGGGGCTGCTCAGATTTTATTCTTTTTTTGTGTGGCAGATCTAAGAACTGTTATGATTTTCCTTCTTTTCCAGAAGATTGACTTTGTATTGTGTTGATATTTTGCTTGAGATCTTGATGAAGCACAGTGAGGTTTGTGATATGTGACGCAGGGGTTAAAAAACAGTAGGTTGTGTTTTTATTTTTATTTTTAAATGCTCTCTTCAGTTGTATTTTCTTTTTTTTTTTTACCATATTTTTCACTAATTTACAGAAATTTAAGGAAAATTAAAGATGCATTTTGCTTATAGGCAGTTTAATGGCCTCTTATTCAGCTGCTGTTTCTCCCCCTCTCTTGTCTCCACCCCCACAAAGAGACCCACTTTGGCAGTTTTTCACAAAAAATACAAAAAGTCAAGTTATTCTAGTTTTTAGGTAAGATAAATTTGTCCCTTGAATCTTTAGTGAAAGTGCTTCAATAAATGCTTCTATGGGTAATTTAGTTTTCTCCAGATGTAGTTTTGTTTCCTCTTTAATTTTACCCGTTTTTAGCTGCTGATTCAAAGCGAGGCTGATCTGTTTGTGGAGGACGAGGACAAGCTGACGCCATGCGACCATGCCGAGCGGCACCACCACACCGACCTGGCGCTCAGTTTGGAGTCACAGATGGTTTTCTCCTGCGCCTCAGCTCAGCAGTCAAGCAGAGATGCACACGGTGAAAGCCGCCTGATGCAATACAAGGAGGTGAGACAAAAGCCACGAGATCTGGGAGTTTCCCGCTGGCCTAAGCTATTTTGAACCTTTCTTGTACCTCTTAAATTTCTTTTTCTAAGATTTTGATACTGAGGTCCCTTTTTTCATCGGCAATGCACGCATGGATGAAATGAATGTCATGACAGTTAGACCATGTTTATTGAAGATAGGTTGGTATTTACCTTTTAGACTTTATGTCATTATGTTGGCAATAGCAGCAGGGCTGTTGGGGCTTCTTGCATATTTATATCTGCTTAATATTGCAAAAGAGTGTACCTCTAGATACGCATCTATAGATGTATTTATCACGGGAAATGTATTTATTGCCTAAACATGATGTGTCAATATTTGATTATGATAAGAGATGTGCCAAATAGGTTTTCTTGAGGTCAAAATTGGACAATTTTCCTTTTATTGGCGCTACTCAGCAAATCATACTGGAAACACGAGTAGTTTGTATCACTTTTTATGAATCAGCATTAATTCTTGGAATTTTTGGTCTATAAAGACATTTTTTTTTTTTTTTTTTACTTTTTTAGTTCATAAGTATAAAATAATGCTTAGGTGTTTTAATAAATAAATGCTAATCATTGCTGCAGCATTTTTATCTTAAATGAGGTATGCATTATTAAGCAAAGAAAGAAAAATCCCAAACGAAAGAAAAGAAAAAAAAAATCAAGATCCGAGGTTCTAAAATCTATATTTCTCTATATTAGATCTATTAATCAAATATTTCCTTTCTAAAACTGTTCTATGTTAGTTGTTCATCTAGGATGCTTTATTTAAATTTCAAAAACTCAACCAAAACCATGAAAATGTGTTTTAAAATTCTATCAGAAAATAGATTTTAAGTTTTGAAATAACAAGAAATAGATTATTTTGTTAGCAAACATGTAAAACTAAAGTTTTTTTTTCCTATTAAAACCATGAAAGGGCTTAAAGTTAAATAAAAGAAGAAAACAAATTAAAAGCTATTTCCTTATTGCCTAATATATCTTGCCTTTTTTATTTTGATTAAAGTGATCGGCTTCTCTGCTTTCCAACATTGTAAATGATTGATTTTGTCAACAGAATAGTCTTTATAGAGCTTCTTCTCTAATAAAGGTCACGGCTTAGTGGTTCTTAGGGTAAGCACATGCCAGACCACTTCTCCCCTTTCTCAGCCTCTATGCATACAGGGAACCAGTACTGTGCTACTGTATAGCAGCAGCTGCTGCTGCCAACAGATACCAGTTTTATCTGTAGTCCTGCAGCCAAATCCATGCTAATACGTAATCTCTCCATCCTACCACCATGACTACCCCCAACCTCTCTGCCCCACATATCCATCTCCATCATTTCTGCATCATTTTGTTACACATTTATTTTTTTCACATTTTTAATGAATAAAACTGACTTCATTCTTTTTGTGTTTTTTTTCCTGGCTATTTGTCCCTCTTTCTCTGGCCTCTTAAGCCTTACGAGGGACTAAAGATTCAGGATCTACGCCGACTGAAGGACATGCTGATAGTCGAGACTGCAGACATGCTGCAAGCTCCACTTTTCACTGCTGAAGCCCTGCTTCGAGCGCACGGTGTGATAATCACTCAGCCAAAGCGGATATTCTTCCAGAATATTTGCATACTGGTGGTTAAGTATTTTCTTTCTTCTGTCCAGATTGGGACAGAGAGAAGCTTCTGGAAGCCTGGATGTCTGATGCTGAAGGCTGCTGCCAGCGCTCCGGTGTCACCATGCCAACCCCTCCGCCCAGCGGCTACAATGCCTGGGATACATTGCCGTCTCCACGCACCCCTAGGACCCCACGCTCACCTTTGACGCTCACTCTCACTTCCCCCACTGACAGTTGCCTCACACCTGGAGAGGAGGGCCTTGCTACGGTGAGAAATAAGCGAAGAGTTCATGAGGATACTATGGGATGTGGAACCTGTCTGATGGGTTAATGGCAGAAGCAGGTAGATATCTCCTTTCTCTGGTGAAAGTGGAGGTATTTAACATCTCTCCTGCAGCCTCTCTTCTTTGCTCCCTCACTAAGAAATAGGCTTTGGTTGATTGTAGCTTTTAGGGGAAGTTAAAATTGCAGATTCAGTGCAAATCATTCTTCTTTCAGAACATCCAACTGGGGGGAAAGGTTGTGAATGTTTTCAGACCTTAGGTGTTGAATGGGTTACAGAGTCCTTAACAGGGGTATTCCTATGGTCAGAACTTCGTTCCAGTAGAGACAGAATTTAAATTACCCTGACTGAATTTCTATTCATCTAACTGGAAATTAAATGCATTCATTTGAAAATGAATTTTACTAGATTTATTTTGCACTGATTAATTAAATTTGTCACAAGTTATCTGGCACAAAGAAAGATCTGGAACTTAAAACGGAGTAAATACATTTTTAAAGCCAATTCAGTATCAATCCATGAAACTCTGTTTGTATTTAGTGCAATTCATTTTCAAGCTAATGCAGTTCATTTCAAATTATAACACAATATGGATTCGGTCGGGGTCTTTTCAAATGCAGTAATTGATGGTACAACTTTCTAACCATGGTAATCTTGCACCTTGAACTGGTTAAGGCAACTGCTGGTGGTACAAAAACAAATGTTTTATTTTAATTTATATTTATGACGGCACAAAGTGGTAAATGATATGAAATTATTAGAAAATGATGCATCTTTATATTATCTATTTAAAAAGCTCCAATTTTAAAAACATTTCCAAAGGAAGCATTTAGAACATTTATATGGTGTCCTCCTTAAGTAATAAAACCCAGTAAAACAGTCACCTGTATGAGTCACCTATTTAGTAAACAGTTCACTAAATAAGTGACTTATTTAAGTTGTCTGACATTAGTTAGTTAGTATGGGGACTTATTTAAATCATATTAGGTGGATTAAATGTCACTTTTTTTTCCACCTGAGTATTACAACCTTGGGTGATTTTTATAGCGTCAGAATTGCTGCAAAGGCTTCAGAGGTTTGTTAGAGAACAAAAAAATATGAAGACAATGAAACAGAACAGACAGGTTGGTAGAAAAATGCTGGTTAATAAGAGAAGCAGCCAAAGGCCTCTGGAGGAGCTGCAGAGATCCACAGCTCAGGTGCCAGAATGTCTGTTAACTTTTACTTGAAAACTCCATAAATCTGACCTGTTTATGAAAAACATGGTAGAATGAGAGCAGTTTGGGATGGTAAGCCATAAGGACTCCCATTAGCAAACATGCAGAGGAGGATGAAAATGTATATCTTTACCTTTACTTGTAAATTGCTTTGTCTGACAAAGAAACTAATACATCACCTGAAACCCACCATCCATATGGTTGAGTACGGTGGTGGGAGTATCATGCTATGGGGGTTGTTTTTGCTCCACCTACTTGCTTCATGACTGGGTTTCACGTTGCAGCCCGACCCGTGTAAGCTACGTGTAAAGGATAATGCCCAGTGAGGCGTCCATGATCAGAAAATATTTCATGACGTGGAGTTATAAACAGCCTTTCACTTTGACTCAGACAGTTGCTTTCGGTCTATTCATTTCTGACAATAAACACCTAGTCAGCCATCATCCTGCTTAGTCCACTGATAATCAACTTATAATCAACTGAGTAAACAGCTCAAATTTAAACAGAAGTAATTTTTATTTATTGAAAAAGAATGTATTTTCCTTTGATTTGAACAGATAAGAGAATTTGTCAAGGGAAAATGATGATTTGGATTAGAAATAAGCACAAAACTTAATCTTATTTCAAATCTATAATATCTCTAATACTTATTTTAAGAGCAAAAGGCAAGAACAGTCGCTAAATGTCTTTTGGACAACTTCATTGTCTACTGTAATTTTTTTTTATTGATAAAGTTGTAGGTTTTTGACAAGAAGTACCTCAGTGATGTGTTTATTATATCTCTTGTTATGATGCGTTGTCAAAGCAACCAGCTGTGGCCTTAGAAGCAGCAGTGCGTCCACTGCGAATTAAGTAATTATAAAGTATTCCTTCAATGAAAGCCATCACAATAATTTCAAACAATCAGGCTATTGAGCACAACTTTTTTATAGGTGTCCTACCACGCTTTTTAATGATGCCCTGCAGCCAATCAGAATCAGGTATTCACCCTCACCATGGTATAAATAGATTTTAATGCAGGGAAATTAGGTGAAAACATGTTTAAAAGGACTAGTCAAAGTCCAACCATAAATCTAAGAGCAGCAAGACTTGAAAATGAATATATTCAAATGCAATATTTTGAAGAAAAGTTCGGAAAAATATTGTTGTGGATGTGCAAAGCTAGTAGAGCCATGATCAGAGTGATCAACCAACGTGTTGACTCAGGAAAAATGAAACCTTGTATAATTCTTCCTTCCCCCTAAGTTATTCCCCTCTTTGTTTTGCTCGGTCACACATAACGGAAATGAAATACTTGTGTTTGGTAACTATGAGACAAATGAACAATTTAAATACTGTTGCACGGTTGTATTGCTCCAAATAGTTATATAAAGAATAAAAATGCATTGCACTAATACAAAGCGAACAGTGTTAAAGCTTAGCGGAACTGTTCGATCATATGGATGAAATAATACTATGTAAACAAAGCAACTACAGATTATGACTCTCTTGTTTTCTCCTCACAGTGTGGCATCTGTCTCTGCTCCATCTCAGTTTTTGAAGACCCGATTGACATGTCCTGTGGTCATGAGTTCTGCAGATGCTGCTGGGAGGGGTAAGCTCCTCCGCTCCAGTGTGTAGATGTATTTGTGAGGTGAAAATCTGACCTTTTTTTACTTTTTGCTGTGTTTATCGTTTTTTCTTCAGGTTTCTTAATGTAAAGATTCAGGAAGGCGATGCTCACAATATCTTCTGCCCAGCCTATGAGTGTTACCAGCTGGTACCTGTTCATGTGATCGAGAGCGTGGTCTCTAGAGAGATGGATCAGCGGTACCTGCAGTTTGATATCAAGGTAGAAACGCTGTGTTCAGCTTATTACTGAAATCTTTGGATAAAAACTCATATTTTTTAGGATAAAAATAAGATAAAATATCAGGATTTTATCAGAAAATATCAGGATAAAAATTCATATTATTCATATTTTGAGTTTGTGTATGTTTGCCTGTGTTTTGCAGGCCTTTGTGGAAAACAATCCATCTATCCGCTGGTGTCCTGCGGCTCGGTGTGAGCGAGCAGTGAGGCTCACCAGACCCGGCCCCGGAGACAGCGACCCCCACAGCTTCCCCCTGCTGCCATCTCCAGCTGTCGACTGTGGCAAGGGTCACCTGTTCTGCTGGTAAACACTGTTTTATTATTCTGCAGGCATGGATACATACCGACTCCCAAGAATCTGTGTTAACATCGTGAAAAAGGATTAACTTAATATTTAAGCTTGTGGTTTGACAAACTCTTTGATCTTTCTTTTGTATTTTAAAGAAACAAGCCACTTCTATGATGAATTATCTAATTCTCTGTGCTTTATTTCTGTTTCTCACCCTCCATGTCTGCAGGGAATGCCTCGGTGAGGCCCATGAGCCATGCGATTGTCAGATGTGGAGGAACTGGCTCCAGAAAGTCACAGAGATGAAGCCTGAGGAATGTAAGCCCATCCTTTTTTTTTTTTTCTTTTTCCAGGAAATTTTGCTTTAGTCCATTTCCTGCAGCTGTCAGATCCCCCTACCAGGAAGTCTCCAATTTATCTTTTTAACAGTCTGGCAGGTGTTCGGTTGTCTTACATCTGATTGACGGCAGAATTTTTTTAAATGTTTTTGGGCTTTTGTTTTGTTTTTTTACACAGTGGCAGGTGTGAGCGAGGCCTACGAGGACGCTGCAAACTGCCTGTGGTTGTTGACCAACTCCAAACCATGTGCCAACTGCAAGTCGCCCATTCAGAAGAATGAGGGCTGCAACCACATGCAGTGTGCCAAAGTAAGCAGCCAATCCTCTGTTTGGACCGATTAGTGATTAAAGGATGATAGATTATAACTGTACTTGTTAGAGTCATATACAGTCTGGAAAGATCTAGAATTACATTTTAACAGTTTGCAGGTGTGGATGAACATAGGAGGAAAAATGTCTTATTGGACTTTGATCCCTACTTTTGCAAAATGTGAGATTCCTATCGAATCACCCCTGCTTCAGTTGTTCCTCCCAGTCAATATTTCCTCCCTTAATCTCTCCTACATGTCCTTCCTACTTTTTACCTTTTTTTTATTTTTCCCTCTTGTCTATCAGCTATAGAAATATCTACCATAGTTTCCTAGCTAATTTTAAAGCTTCAAAATGAAGATATACGCTTTTAATTTGGTAAGATTCTGTCCGTAAAACCATGAGATGAACCCTGCTGCCTGTTTCTCTCCATGCAGTGTAAATATGACTTCTGTTGGATATGCCTGGAGGAGTGGAAGAAACACAGCTCATCTACGGGAGGCTACTATCGCTGTACTCGCTATGAGATCATTCAGCAGCTAGAAGAGCAGTCCAAAGAGATGACTGTGGAGGTACAAGGATAAAACAGAGTTTATCTTTATACTTTATACATGCACCGGTAAATATTTATATCTATATATCACCTGAAACTCAATAAAATTTACATTTCTCACCATGAATTGCACCCTAATTGTAAACTAAATGCTAACTATGCTCACAGCACGGATTGTGCTCAGTTATTTATGGAAATTATTTTTGAAAATATTTTAATCAGACATCTTACAATTGTTCTGCTACAACTAAGGACTGTTACATCTCTAGAGGATTAATAACCATATATTGGCCATTTGAATTAATTCTCCAAACCTTAAACATTAAACATAAAAAACCTGCGGCTTATAGTCCGATGCGGCCTGTATATGTACAAATCATGCAATTTAGCTTCTGCGGCTTATATTGTGGTGCGGCTAATAGTCCGAAAATTACATTAATTTTCATGCTTTTTCAGGCAGAGAAGAAGCACAAAAGTTTCCAAGAGCTGGACCGTTTCATGCACTACTACACTCGCTTCAAGAACCATGAACACAGCTACAAGGTATTGGACTCACATTTGAACAAGTTGGCCTCCTAAGACATCCTGCATGTTGTTTTTCGTATCTGTGACCTGCAAACTGTGTCTTCCCATAGTTGGAGCAGAAGCTCCTGAAAACGGCTAAAGAGAAGATGGAGCAGCTGAGCAGAGCCCTGATTAGCCGTAAGAGTGAAAACCTGCATTCTTAATCTTTGTGTGTCCATCCTGTTTGAATAAGAGCACTAATATTTTCGTGTCCAGGTGAGGGAACTCCTCCAGACACCCGGTTTATTGAGGACGGTGTGACCGAGCTGCTGAAGACGCGGCGCGTGTTGAAGTGCTCTTACCCTTACGGCTTCTTTCTGCAGCACGGCAGCACGCAGAAAGAGATATTTGAACTTATGCAGGTAATCCATCTGATTTACAAAACGGGAAACCTTCTATAGCTTTCTGGAACAAGGGTATTTTAATCTCTGTGGTTCTGTCTCTGCCAGACCGACCTGGAGATGGTGGTAGAGGATTTGGCTCAGAAAGTCAACCGGCCGTACCTCAGAACGCCACGGCACAAAATAATCAGCGCAGCGCGGCTGGTGCAGCAGAAGAGGCAGGAATTCTTGGCGTCAGTGGCCCGCGGTGTTGCTCCAAACGACTCTCCTGATCCTCCCCGCAGGAAGTTAGCAAACTTCTCTTTATTAACGGTTATGTTCTTATTGCTTTATCATGAAGTTCACTGTACAGAGATGGTAGGTTGGACGTAAAGCTGCTAAAGTCTCTATAGATATGTATATTCACTCAAATTATTATTCTGTTGTTTAGAGCCTGTTGTTTTCGTTCTGTCTTTTCTATTCTTTTTCTGTCCTCACGTTCCATCCATCCTTCTCTCCTTTATTCTGCTCCTCCCTCCTTCCTTAATTTTTTCCATCGTTTCCTACTTGTGTCTCTTTTACTTCCTTCCATCCTTTGCTGTTGCTGGAGATCTGCCCTTAGTTTCTCTCCTCTTTCTTCCCTTCTTTTTCTTGTGCCCTTCTTTCCTTTCTTATTATTCCTACCTTTCCTCTGTCCTTGTTACCTTCTTTGTTTATTTTTGTGTCCTTTTGTCTTCCTTCACCTTTTCTTCTGCCCTATTCTTTGTCTTACCTCCCTTCCTTTATTGTCGTTTTTTCTGTGTCCTACCTCACTTCCTTTTTGTGTGATGTCTTTAATTCCTCCAACGCTTCATTATTTCTTTTCCTCTCTTCTCTTCCTTTCCAAATGTATGTCTTACTTTTCTTTCTTTATTACCGCCCTTTCTTTATTGAACTTTGATTTTTCGAATTAAAGCCTATCACCAAGAAATGTCTTCCATAATTCATATCAAGCTGTTTGATAGAGTTTTATAAATGAAAGACATGTGGGAACCTGTGTTTGTGTGTTTCAGTTACCCTGGGGGATCATGGGATTGGGAGTACCTCGGCTTTGCATCACCTGAGGTAGAAAAATTGCTGTTGTTTTTTCATATTAAACTCTTTTTTTCAGCGAAACATTTTTGTTCATGCTTCCTAAAGCTTCTGTCACACCTTGACAATTTAGACCAGCATATGCCTGACGTACCAAAAATCTGGCAAAAATGCTGGCATACTTTGGATAAGTTATTAGCACGCTGACACACGTCGACATATGGCAAATACATCTGATGTATGCCATATGTGGGCCATAAGTTGCAGATAAGTTATTTTGATCCTTGACTTATGTTAGGTGTAAGTTACTCATAAGTCGTGGTGTCTAGCTTATCCAAAACGTAGGAGTAACTTATGCAGAACTTATGCGTAATTTATCTTATCTCCAACGCATATCAATGTATCTGACGTGTTTCAGATGACCGGTGAACGTGTTTCTAACTTACAGCTACTGTATAATGGTGGATGGGCAGAGTTTTGGTTTAAAAGGGGGTTCACAGGAGGAAACCGTAAGTTCTCCTCCAGGCTTCATCCCCATCAGAGGGTGAGCGACTCTGCTGCGACTGCAAACCTTCTTTCTTTTTTCTTTCTTTCTTTTTCCTTTTCCTTTTTATTTATTTCTTTTTGGCAGGTGGCAAACGGTTAAAACTGCGATCAAAAACTTCTCTTTATGCAGACCGGGCGTCTCCAGGGTCCTGAGGGGAGCAGCGTTAACTGATGCTTTGTAATGTCCATGAAATGATGCACAAGCATTATGCATAAGTTAGGCTGTTGTTGGACATACATTCTGTATTTGTTATGAATGCGCTCTGTATATGCCCAAAATTGTAAAAAAAAAAATACATAAAAAATTCAGTGTATTTCAGCATTTTAGGAGATTCTGGGACGTCGGGCATATGCTGGCTAAATCGGAAAGGTGTGACAGGGCCCTAACCTTTACTGACCTGCTGGTGGTGCATGATGTCCTAACGCATGGATGCAGCTGACGTAGTTTGCTTATGTGTGTTAAGATGGGAAGCCGTCACTCTGTACTGGGACCAGGAGATCACAGAGAGAGACAGTCACAGGTAATGCACCAAAGCTCTCTGGCATAATGTGCGAATGCATGGCCTCAATTCTGTCTCCTGTGACCGCACACCTGCTCATTATTGGACTTGATTATGAGACACCTGCTCTGAGGTGGTTAGTAAAACCCAGACACAACGGCTCTCTGCAGGATTACGCTGACATCCAGTACCGTCGTAGACACAGACCACGGCGCAGAGGAGACATGCTGAGTCTGCACAACCTCCGAAGCAGCAGCAACACGCCGGAGACCAGCAGGAGGAGTGATAACACAGGTCCTGCAGCAGCTCCTTTCAACCACAAACTTACATCTACTTTATTGGCATTTTATGTGATGTGTATAAACACAGTACTGATTGATTCTAAAGCAGAAGGAAAATATTTTCTTTATTGATTGTACTAATATGTATTCAGCCTTCCAGATGAAATGTTTCATATTGTGTTTTTTGGGGCTTTGCTCATACCACAAATCATCGTTCTTTGTTGAATATTTAGGTTTTTCACTTCTGTTCATATGGGGGGAGACTAGTCTAATTTTTAAGAAATGCCTGTTCAATTTCTTTTTTCGCTTTGATGTATAACTAATATATCAGAGCAGCAGACAGCCAGCAAATAGGATTTTACTTTATTGCTCCATTAATCTGGTTCGATCGAAACGCGCAGAAGCTTTGATCACTTTTATCGATTCATCCTCCAGAGGAGTATGAAGCCTGCGCTGAACCTGGTGTTTTTGTTTCAGATCCCACAGAAAGAACCGAAGGTCGCAGAAGAGCGCTGGGCTCCCTCGACGAAGACGACCCAAACATACTTCTCGCCATCCAGCTGTCGCTCCAGGATTCCCGGAGGGAGCAGGGCCTGGAGGGAGGAACGGAGCTGGAGCACGACGGAGGACTGGAAAGGAGGCCGGGTCCTGATCTGGCCGACGCTTCCTTACACACGCTTAGCATGGAAGATCCTCCAGGAGCCCGAGGTTCATCCTTTCCCACCTCCCTCCTGGATCCTCCGCGGCCCCCAAACAGGACAGACTCCACCTCACAGCCATCTATTCTAAGCTCCCTCCCCCTGCCTCCCCCTCCTCCCACCCTCAGCGCAGAGCTGCTGGAGCTGGGAGACAGCCTTATGAAACTGGGGAACATAACCACTCCTCACAACATGGACACAGAGCCTACATGCAGCCACGGTGCGCTGACCGCTCCTTCCAGCGACTGCAGCCACAGAGTAGACCACAACACATCAGCTCAACGTGTGCTGGATCATATCTCAATCACAGATCCTCATCCTGACAGCAAAGAGCAGAGCTACTGTAGCTCCTCTGTTTATTCGGCTGAGGGTGAACACCCTCCCTCCTGTGCACTGGACTGCACTCATAACCCCCTTCATGCTAGTCTGTATAACCGGGGTCATAACACAGGGGACTGCTCCTACCAGCCAGGTAACTCCTACACTGCAGAGCATCCTTCCACCTATGCTCTGGACCAGCCGCCCAGGCCAGAGCTTCAGCCTCCCATCCAGTTGTGCCTCCCATCACCAGAGCCAGAGCCAGACCTGCTGCTGTCCCCAGTTATTCCGCCGGGGGCCCCTTTCACTCCCAGTGACCCTCAGAGCCTGGAGGCTTTGGACCCCACAGCAAGCGCTCAGCTGCTGGACAACATCATGGCCTGGTTCAACAACAACATAAACCCCCAGAACAACCCGCAGAACCTGGCTCTCATCCCGTCCCCGCCTACCACAGAAACTGACTCCTCCCCCGACACGCACACCGAGGCCGAGAGGGACAGGACCAGCGCCCCAGTATGGCAGCCCCTGGAGGGCAAGCCTGACGCAGCGGAGGGCAGAGACACCCCAAAAAGGTCAAGGCCCGACTCTCTGGAGCTGGAAAATAGAGACGTCGTGGAGGAGGGTGTGAGCAGGGGGTGTGTGTCGGACCTGTCGCTGGACGAAGTGCACACACACCCGCGGTCACACAGCCAGCACGGGGACGGCCTTCCTCACTCTGGCCCAGCCACAGAGGGGGACGCAGACGCCGTGCTGCAGCTGGAGGGGGGAGGGTCACCGGCGGAGTGGGAGGAGCAGGAACACTTGGTGTGACGCAGAGAGGAGCGGTCACCGGATGTACCATACTGTATTTAAAGATGATGTCACACACAGGCTGGATTTAAGTGCTTTGCGTCTGCTTCAGAAACAGACGAATTATTCATTCAGACAAAATAAGTTTTGGAGAAAAAAGCTGTTTATATCAGAACACATGAACCACTCCATAGTTTTATTTAAATCGTTAATTTTCCTCCTGCTTCTCGTATTTATGTTCTCTGTTTGTTAAGGATGAAGGGTTGGTGCTGCAATCCAAGCTTGCCTCATGCTTTAAAACTCTCGGCTGATTGAATAGCTGACAGACGACCCTAAACTCGTTCTATCCCAGAGACCACAATCAGAGAGGTGTCCTTCGGATACCTGTGCCTGTTGTTGGTGCCAACACTGCCTCCTCACAGGAAGGTATTTGCTCAAAGGCACTTCTAAAGGGCGGATTATACTTCTGCAATCGCACACATCAAATGTCGCTTGGGTCTGGTTGCAAAACAGTTTTGCTGGTATGCTTCGGCAACGTTGGCACGGAATTTCTAGGGACGCACAGAAGTTTCCCGCCAAAGAGCTAGGGGGAGCCTATTTGAGAACTTCGGCGGATGGTCACGAGAATTTCTTCAGCGGCGCAGGCAGGAGTGTTTATTTTCCAAAACAACATGTCTGAGGCATCGTACAAGTAATTATACTTTGGAACCTCCTTGATCAACCTTTCGTCATAGTTATCCATTGTCGTTATTACACCTCAGTTTTTAAAAATGGCGCCCCGGCACTGAATCTAGAAGGACGACCACACAGACAGCCAGACAGGCATACCAAGGATCAATCACGGCTGCCTATTGTCTGCGCACTTCCGCGTGCTGTCTGCGTGGGTTTGCGACCATCCGACGTGTAGTCAGGATTTTTTTTGAGGTGCGCAACGACGGTTGCAGAACCTCTGCATGGAGGGTGTGGTCGCGCACAGAGACAGATTTGACGGTTGCAGAGGCTATGCGTCGGAAGGATAAATTGGCCTTAATGAAAGATCATTTCAAAGCATCTGGAGATAAGCAGAGTTTAGACACACACTCGCCATTCAGGTCATCGTCACATTGGTTTGGGGACTTTTAATGATTAATTGATTTAGTTTATTTTCCTCTTTGCAATGATTCTTCTAAACATCATTAGTAGTTTTCTTTTAAGTGTTAAATGACTCCATTTGAATGAAGGAGATCAGAATCACCTTTACTGGCCCAAGTACGTACATAGTCCAAATTATCCAGATAAAGGGCATCAGACACCTGAGTCACTATTTGTAGCCGTTTGCAGGTTTTCTGCATTTTTTTTTTAGGTCGGATATTAAATTCTAGTGTTGAATTAACTAGTTTGACTAGTTTTAAATGTTTCCTATTTAATCCTGTCTTATACACAGTGAAACAGGCCCGCTGCATGATGCTACCTCCACCATGCCTCACAGCAGAGATTAAAAACCTCTCATGGAGCCCTTCAAATAAGCTTCTTCTTGTCATTTTAGCCAAATACTTCAGCCAACATCTGCTCTGAAAGTATTTTCCTTTCTTCTTAAGGTAAAATATTTTACTAGCTTCCTGTCGGAGGGTAGTAGTGTTTCCCTCCTTTTGGGGGGGCTTCCTGGGTTGGATTCAAGCATCCAAACAAACATCCTCATTGTTGTATTCAAAAAAGGGTGACTTAAATGCTTAAATGACCATGCTGCTTAAATATATCAGCGCTTTAGGTAGAGATTGCTTTCGTGCAAGCCATCAGAATTGACAGACTCCTAGGTAGGTGTCGAAACTGAGTTTAAGTCCGGTTGAGTTGTAATTAAGCCTGTTTGGTGGTTGGCATGACCCAGGTGACGGTTTTTAAAAGTGGAAAATGAAATAAAGTATAAATACTCCTAAAAGTATTTTTCTTTCTAAGGTTAACTACAAAATTAGAATAGGAAATTACCCAGGTACTGATAAATATAAGAAATTTAAAATTCAAACTGATGGGTTTTTTAAAACTGTTTAAAGTAAGCAAGAAGGAGGTACAGCAAAATGAGTAATACTTTGAGAGTCTCTAGGAAGTAAAATTTATACAGGACTTTTATTTAACTTATGAACATTAAAAGAACGTAAAATACTTTGAACAATTACCATTTAGGTCATAAATGAGTGAGAACTACTTCCTTTTAAGAAACACCAGAAGAAAACACTCAAACCTTATGGAGGAATAGAAGATAAGATATGTATTAGTTTTAATTAAATCTTAATTTGATAATAATTATTAATTAATTATAATAATTAAATCTTCAATATTTTATTGAAATGTTGTATTCAAAAAAGGGTGACGATCTTAAACTTAATCACCTGTATTTCAAAGTTAATAAATGGACTGATATTAATGAGATCTCCCATTTCTGATGACTAAAGCAGTGTTGTTGGAAAATTTAGATTTCTCTTATTTCATATATTAATTTATCCTATTTTCTCACTATAAAAGTGAGTCAAATATGCATCCAGCTTGTTGACGGCTACAAAAAGCATGCAGGCAAGGCACAACTAAGGAAAACTACATTTGAAAGAAATATCCTCCAAAGATTTGTTTTTGAAATCATTAAAGTTATATATTGTTCTTTTCACTTGAAAATGGCTGAGTGAATCATTAAATCCCCAAATCATTACGACGTTCAGCTGCAACTTACTTTGGCTCCTATTGTCGATCTGCAAAACTCTGAGGTTCGCAGCGTAGCTCAGGTCGTTTCCTACAGCGCGCAACAATTTGCCTTCAGCTTATCTTCAGCTTCAAACAGCAACTGAAGCCAAAAACCTTAAACTGTTACCACAAGTATGATCAGAGTTTTAAGGGAGCCACATTTCAAGTAAATGAAATTAAAATATTAAATGTAGAACAATAAAAAAAAAAAGGATTTGATAGAAACATTTTGATTGTGATGTCATTTAAAATGTGGCTGCTGATTGGAGGAGGAAAAAAGCATCCATTGCTTTGCTTTCTGATATAAAACTTTATTAAGTTTCGTTATTTTAACATTCAGTTTTAGAACCTCACACTACAGCAAAATTCATTTCATGCATTATATTTCTTTATTTTCATTTCTAGGTGGGGGGGCTTAATGCAATTTAATTGCTAGTTTAGATATACAGGTGCTGGTCATAAAATTAGAATATCATGAAAAAGTAGATTGATTTCAGTAATTCCATTTAAAAAGTGAAACTTGTATATTATATTCATACATTACATACAAACTCATATATTTCAGATGTTTATTTTGTTTAATTTTGATGATTACAAATGACAACAAATGAAAATCTCAAATTCATCATATCAGAAAATTAGAATATTGTGAAAAGGTTCAAAATTGATGGCCCCTGGTGCCACACTCTAATCAGCTAATTAACTCAAACCACCTGCAAAAGCCTTTAAATGGTCTTTCAGTCTAGTTCTATAGGCTACACAATCATGGGGAAGACTGCTGACTTGACAGTTGTCCAAAAGACGACCATCGACACCTTGCACAAGGAGGGCAAGACACAAAAGGTCATCGCTAAAGAGGCTGGCTGTTCACAGAGCTCAGTGTCCAAGCACATTAATAGAGAGGCGAAGGGAAGGAAAAGATGTGGTCGAAAAAAGTGTACAAGCAAGAGAGATAACCGCACCCTGGAGAGGATTGTGAAACAAAACCCATTCAAAAATGTGGGGGAGATTCACAAAGAGTGGACTGCAGCTGGAGTGAGTGCTTCAAGAACCACCACACACAGACGTATGAAAGACATGGGTTTCTGCTGTCGCATTCCTTGTGTCAAGCCACTCTTGAACCACAGACAGCGTCAGAAGCGTCTTGCCTGGGCTAAAGAGAAACAGGACTGGACTGCTGGTGAGTGGTCCAAAGTCATGTTCTCTGATGAAAGTAAATTTTGCATTTCCTTTGGAAATCAAGGTCCCAGAGTCTGGAGGAAAAGAAGAGAGGCACTTCATCCACGTTGCTTGAAGTCCAGTGTAAAGTTTCCACAGTCAGTGATGGTTTGGGGTGCCATGTCATCTGCTGGTGTTGGTCCATTGTGTTTTCTGAGGTCCAGGGTCAACGCAGCCACATACCAGGAAGTTTTAGAGCACTTCATGCTTCCTGCAGCTGACCAACTTTTTGGAGATGCAGATTTCATTTTCCAACAGGACTTGGCACCTGCACACAGTGCCAAAGCTACCAGTACCTGGTTGAAGGACCATGGTATCCCTGTTCTTAATTGGCCAGCAAACTCTCCTGACCTTAACCCCATAGAAAATCTATGGGGTATTGTGAAGAAGAAGATGCAATACACCAGACCCAACAATTCAGAAGAGCTAAAAGCCACTATTAGAGCAACCTGGGCTATCATAACACCTGAGCAGTGCCACAGACTGATCGACTCCATGCCACGCCGCATTGCTGCAGTAATACAGGCCAAAGGAGGCCCAACTAAATACTGAGTGCTGTACATGCTCATACTTTTCATGTTCATACTTTTCAGTTGGCCAACATTTCTATAAATCCTTTGTTTTTATTGGTCTTCAGTAATATTCTAATTTTCTGATATGATGAATTTGAGATTTTCATTTGTTGTCATTTGTAATCATCAAAATTAAACAAAATAAACATCTGAAATATATGAGTTTGTATGTAATGTATGAATATAATATACAAGTTTCACTTTTTAAATGGAATTACTGAAATCAATCTACTTTTTCATGATATTCTAATTTTATGACCAGCACCTGTATTATCTCAGTTTACTGTGTTCTGCCTGATTTAAGAGTTTTTGCACATAATCTCTGAGAAGAAGTTACGGTTCATCCTCTGCATGTGAAAGCAGATCCCATTTCCTCCATCTGGTCCAGTGGACTGTAATCGATTGGAAGTGGGTTGGGAATTTTACTGTAATTTATCCTTTATTAATCAAAACAGAGAAGATCTTTCTGGTTAAGACCAGAGTTTAATGGTCTGTGTGCCTTTTTATTTCCCTGTATATGTTTGTATTTATTATAGTTTTTTGCTTTTTAAACCTGCAAAGATTTTATTTAAAGAAAACAGAACACTTCATTTCACTTCTGAGCCCCACAACAACAGGTTGATCTCAGTCCATCTGAGGCTGTTTTTTCTTTTAGAGAGTTTTACGCTATAAGAGCAACAGGTTTATCTGAATGATACATTTTATTTATTTCTTTTTTTTCACCCAGTTAGGCTAGATCTTTACAGCATTAATGCCCTGCTGGGATGTTTACAGAAGATTCAAACACTGCCTGCTGTGGTGCTTTAATCAAACCTTCATGGCTGGAGATTTGAACCAGTGAGGTTGTGTCCTTTGGTTTGAATTTCAAGCCTGAAACAGGAGGTTTGAAGTGCTTAAAAACCGGAAAGAAACGGTTTTCTTCTGCATTTTCAGAAAGATTAGAGAAACTTGTTTGAGGCCTGATGTTTCACATTCAGGTCGCCGCCCCTACAGGTTGGTTTTCTCTTATGCCGTAAAACAATAGAAGCACTGAATCTGGATTATCTGTTCTCCACCAGCTGGAGAAAGGATTATTT